ACTGAATTTTTCCAGCAGATGCCTTTTCTGCAATTAAGGGCTCTGTTCTGTCCTAAACAATTTTGACTCGGTGGGACCCGATTTAATTATGTTATGCAAATGCTCACAAGCTGACATATCACCGGCTGTACAAATGTCTGTACATTTTTATTCTGGGGCTTTTTTTGTTTCTTATATTTTCTGTTTCTTCTGATCAAAAATTAATACCTCTTTTTTGCTTCTGCTCTGGAGGGCTCCATTTATTCTCATTTAAGCCGAGCAAGGCACACACCGGCATCTGAAAACAGATGACTAGAATTCATGTTTAGCTGTAATAGGTCTTCAGAACATAAGAAACATAAATGCAATGCATCAAAATGAAAGAAAAATATGACATTATTGGGGAAATATTGACAATGTGCATCTCTTTCACACACACACATGCAAACCCGTCGCCAAAGGAGCCATACAGAACCAGCGAAGGAGGATTTAAGTGAGAAAGGTATTCTGGTTTAATTCTAGAATAAGAATCCAGGAAGGGAAAACAACCAATTATATCTGATGTTAAAAATAATGGAAGCCTATAGAGGGAATGTAACATTTACATTTATTAGATGCTCCTAGTGGAAAATGTAATTTATATGAACAGATTATGACCTATCACAGTTTGTAAATTTAATTCTTATTGTTAAGGGCATGCCTTCAATATAGCTTGCTGTTGTTATCTTGAACCACTTCACCCAAGGTGAAATGCAAAACGAAAGTTAAGTAATTCATATAAACTTTTAATTGAACAGCCAAGGCTAATTAAGGAAAGGGAAACCCATATATGCCAAATAGCAAAATCAAAGCTGTGATCGAACCTAATCAATAAATATTTTGCTTCCAACTGCAGAAATCTTAAAGCATTAGCAATTGGTTATTATTTCACAACAGCACTCTTGCGTTTTAACAAAGACTTCCCAGAACATAACAAAGCAATTTACGTCTTTCTATGTAACAGAATATTTTTGAGGAGCATGGAGCTCGTTAGATAGAGAGCAAAACATAGGAGGTGTAGGGGTTTTATTTGAAAACGCAGAAGTAAATGAAATGCAATAAGCAATACATTGTAAGACAAGGATCATTCCAGGCAGTGTTTGCGTGGGTGTGTGCGGGGCACACCTCCAAGCAGGTTTTTAGAGACAATGCAGCCTACAGGATCTTTTTCTTTTTGAACAGCAGAAAATTTCCGCATTCGTACGCCAGAGCCAGAACAAGGCTTAAAATGGAAAAAGAGGGAGCTTTTCAACCATACTTCTGTGGCAAGCAGGGAGCTTCACTTTGGACGTGCTTCTGAACTTATTGGGGCATTCTGATGGAATAGATTTGTACAGAGAGGATTAGACACCCGTCTGTTCAGAAAACCTTTCTCATGTTCCGGGTGAGCGTGTGTATCCACCCCTTACTACTACACCGTAACTCTTGTGAAAAATTTCGAACGTTTCCAAGAAAAGACTTTAGAAAACATGATCATTTTATTTTTTATTTTTCAGTCTGTCCCCCGCGGAACTCAGAAACCAGCATCTTGTCTTGATCGCCCCTGACTCATTTTAAGGGGTCTGGTTACAGAGTCATCTGCAAAGCCCCGCTCTGCCTTATCAGGAGCCGCGCCCCGAGCGCCGCTTCTGCTCGCTGTCTTGCTCCCCTCTTCCATCTTGCGGGCTGTTCCCGGAGAGGCATTTATTGGTTCAATGTTGAGGCTGGCCGGCCCCTTCTTTGATCTCGGTTGCCTTTGCAGGTTCCCTTTGCTTTCTTCCCACTTCTTAGCCATTTCGTTGGCTTTTTAGGGTTGTTTGTTTGATTTGAAAAAGATTTTCCAGGAAGGCGGATGAGGGTGGTAGAGAGGGAGCCCTCCCTTCCCTTTCCTTTGGTTTTGACAGCCATCTTAAGATGCGGATCAAAATTGCGGGGGCAAAAAGAGCCTAAACAGCGCGGCTGCGGATTCCCTCCCTCAAGCGAAACGCTTGAGGGGCAGACGACCTCATCTGAGTCCATATGATTACATATTAGGATTACCATTTCAGTCCGCAGCCCCACTGTACGACGGCCTTTATTGGTCCTTTCACTGGACCTGCCGGGCCGGTGGCACCGAAATAAACCCTCTCAAAGCTCCGTGAGAAATATCACTAGGGGCGTTTCTAGCGCGAGAGAGGCTCTTTGTAGACACAGGATAGCCAATTCCATAATTTAAGGGGAGAGTTTCCGGGGCAATTCCATTGTCTTCCTTCCAGTTTATGATGTGCAATAGAGCAGGGCAGTAAAAGATGCCTCTGTGCAAACTTCTCCTCGGAGGGGAGGAAATTCATTTTACGACCAAGGGGGCGGGGGGGGGAGTAGGAGACGCACCACATCCTCCCTGGATGGGCTGCATGTGCCTGTGTGCGTGGAGGGGGATTCTTAAAAATTAAGGAGTCCTGTTGTCTGTGATCTGGGGGGAGGGGGCATTGCCTTTTCCCCAAGCATAGAAGATCCTCAAAGGTATGTGTTTCCTGAAGAAGTTGAGCGCGGGCGATTGTGGATAGAAGCAGGGCTTTAAAACAAGATGCATTTCAACGTCCTCATTCCTACTCGAGGAGATTCCCCTTCCCAAAGGTTATGAAAGCCCGTTTATTTTATTTGTCGCTGCAAATACATTTTTTAAAAAATCGGGGCAGTGCTATTGGGCAGATCAGGCCGGCTAATAAAGGCACTTCTGTGTCGTAATTCCCGCAATAAGTCTTCTGATGTAGCCTTCCCTGGAATAGCAGGCAAAATCAGGCACATGAAAGGCCTTGGAAGATATTTACCAGTCCTCTTTGAAAAACTTGCAAACAAGCTAGGATCCGTTCTCCCCCCCCCCCCCCCCCCCCCC